ATTTTGGGATCCCCACACACACACACTCACAAGTTTCTGCAAGGCGCTGTCCAGCGAGTGCTCTGCAGCAGGAGCCAGCAAAGCGAGCAGCGTTGCACGAAGTGCGACAAGCCTGGGTCTAAGTAACTCAGCGAGGCCTCCTCCTTAGCTAGAGTAGGGTTTCGGGGTATACTGTGGCTAAACTATGGAAAGGGGAACTCTAAGTAATCATTCCGATCCCGATATTAGAGTGTAGGGTTTACGTTCAGGTTTCTGTTTGGTGGCTTAGAGGCGAGCCGCAACAGTTCCGGCAGCAACAGGTCCTGATTCATTCCCTCTACAAGTAGAACACACCGCTCTTCGTGAGCCCAGTCTACTTTTTGAAGCCCTTCTGCGCAACAGGCCCCGAAAATCGAAAACCCTAAACCCCTAAACCCTAAAACCCTAAACCCCTAAAGCCTACACTCGAAAAGTCGTCTTCAATTCCTGGGCCCTGTCGGGCGCATCGCTCTGAACCCCAAAGCCCCCAAAACCTGAACTCCCAGCAGCCCGAGCCCTAAATGGCCCGTTTAGGGTTTAGGGGTTAGGTGTTTAGGGTTTAGGGTTTAGGGTTTGGGGTTTAGGGGTTTAGGGTTCAGGGCTTAGGGGTTAGTGCGTTATGTAGGGGCCTTAATAATTAGAATAGGATTCCTTTAAAGGGTTCCTTAAAAGGGATACTATAAGGGTTACTATAAGGGTTCTAATTAGGGGCCTTACTAACTAGACTAGGGTTTGGGGGGCCCAGTATCCTAAACTTAAATAAGGACCCCCCCCAAAACAGTATTGGCAATTATTTAGGCCCCTACATTACCCAAAGTTCAGGATTTGGGGTTTAGGGCTTAGGGTCCTGTGTCCTATGTCCTTTCTGTGGTAGAATCTAGGGTTTTGTATGAGGAATTACTACTGTTGATGATATACATCCTGCATTACCTTAAGGCACTATGGGAATTATGGTATATTCCTTATTGGGGGGTAATACAGGATTTATATCAACCGTATTATGATTAAGGCAAGTATCCCTCATAACAGTACATATTAGTAGGACCTTTTTGGATAAGCCCTTTAAGAGGAACCTTCTAGAACCCTACAATTACAACCCCCCGCATAGAGCCCCTCTGAAACTCCTGGACATTCACCAGAACCCAGGCCTGATGTAGGGCCCTTTATGATTAGAATAGGGTTTTGGGGCCCATTATAGAACAATTATAATAAGGAACCCCCACAGTAGTATAGATAATTATTTAGGCCCTCACATTACTCCCCTAAACCCTGATCCCTAACCCTGAACCCCAATCCCCTTAACCCCTGCCTCCCCCCCATACCCTAAAATAAAAGGGACCCTGGTGAACAATTCTCCTACAATATGAAGCCTTCATAGCAACCGTTCTAGTAGCCCTGACTGAACAGGACCCGTTTAAAGGAATCAGGGTTTAGGGTTTAGGGTTTGGGGTTTAGCTTACCTACTCTGCTAAACCCAAAACCCGAAACCAGCAACGAGGCCCCCTGAGGTACGCCAAGAAGCAAAGCCACCTCGGCCTCCTCTCGGGCCTCTGATGCCTCGCTACTCTATCGAAACCCGAAACCCGAAACCCTAAACCTTACTATCGAAACCCTAAATCCTAAACCCTAACCCCTAAACCAGTAAACCCTAAACCCTAAACCTTAATGTAGGCGGCCTGGCGGGCTTGAATGGTTTCTTTAAGGGTTCTTAGAAGGGGTCCTTTACGGGGTTCCCTTAAGGGCTCCTTTAAAGGTTAGAGTAGGGTTCCCTTCAAAGGCCCTAGATTTTAAAAGGTTTTTTGCAGGTTTTGATATACGTTCGATTGAAGTCTATCGAACTAACATAGGCCCCTTGATACTTCGAAGAGGGGTCTGTGGGGCTGCTATGGTCGTTTCTCAGGTCAATGTCAAGGTTCGTTTTCGGACTCAACAACAGCAAACATGAACCCTAACCCACAACACTACACAGTTCATAGTGCATCTTCAAAAACCGTGAAGGAAGCCCCATGTTACCCCTTCAAGGAACCCATCAGCTCAAGAAAGAGAAACGTCTGGAGCCATGCCCAAACAGCATGACCCTGAACGCTGCCGCCTTAAGCCCTAAAGCGGCAAAGCCCTAGAACGTAAGTCCTCTTTAAACCCCTGAACCCCTAAACCCTGTCAGCCTAGGCCCAGAAATAAAACCTAACAAAACCCGAAAACTTGATCCCCAAACCCCAAACCCTAAACCCAAACCAAAAACGCCGAGAAAGCCGGGCGGCTGGGAGCACCGAGGGCCCTAGACGACCCAGGGCCCTCAGGTGTCGCACCGCTGCACCGGGAGAGAGGCCCGACGTCCTTGGGTTTAGGGTTTAGGGTTTAGGGTTTAGGGTTTAGGGTTTAGGGTTTTTGGGCTTTACGGTTTACTTGGAGGTTCACTGTCATGGGTAGTAGTAAGTGGGGTTATAAGTAGGGCAACTTTCATAATCACCCACATTTGGGGACATATAACTCCACTTAAAGCTACCCATGAACCTCCAAGTAGGGTTAAGGGTTTAGGGTTTAAGGCCCGATATCCTTTGGGTTCTTGTCCTACCGAGGGTTTAGGGCTCTGGAGGTTTAGGATTTAGGGATATTTAGGGTGTGGAACCACAATAGCTATAATGGGCAATGCATCGCTGCAGATGGTAGCAGTTGAGACAACAACAAGATACTGGCAGCTGATCCCTCCGTACCAGACGAAACCAAAGCCACGACACTTTTTCCATAACGAACAGCACTGTCGCCCCTCATTTCTACAAAGCCTACTTGGAGGTTCATGGGTAGTTATAAGTGGACTTATAAGTCCCTAAAATGGGTAATAGCTACAGTTACCCTACTTGTAACCCCACTTATAACTACCCATGAACCTCCAAGTAAGGCTCTTGCTAGCATCATCACAGCTAGCTCAGGCTTCTCATCATTCAGATGCCAAGTAACCAGGCACTGCAATGGGCATCGCAGAAGACTGCGGCTGCGCATCGGTCGAGGCCTGTCATTTGTAGAGTTCAACTAGGACGGAGGGAGTGTTCAGAGCTGAAACGCAAGCTGATCAACCTGTATGAGGGAGTTTCTTTAGGAGCCGAAATTCTTGAAGTAATTGGTAACCCCCTTATAAATATGGTCCCTGTGTAAGTATCATACTATCATGTGCTACATCCCCATAATGGAACCGAGCATATACACTCACCAATATTCAAAAGGAGCCCTATCTACACTCACCAAAACGGTAATATAAACTCTACTTCATATGCCCTTAAGACCATCGCACAGAAAGGCATGGCCATCTTACGCCGAGCAGGCGAGTAGCAACCCGACAGTCACCCTATCCGGTTATGTAAGGGGTTTGTATACTTGGAGGTTCATGGGCAGTTAGAAGTGGAGTTATAAGTAGGGTAACTGTAATTATAACCCGTATTAGGGGACTTATAACTCCACTTATAACTACCCATGAACCTCCAAGTAGGTGCTGTAAGAAAGGCCACGTATATTAAAAGCTGCGAATCCTGCGAAACCCAATGACCATAAACAAGGATAAAACAACACCCGCCAACCAAGTTCCATGATCGCCCGAGGGAAGCCTGGTGGCCCCACACGCCATTGCAGCAACGAGCGCCAGCAGGCTGTCAGCTGTCTGCTGTCCTCATGATGCTGTGGCTTACACGGCTTGACAGGGCTTTATAAGGTCCAGCTAAGCGAAAGGAGTCGTGCTTGCCTTACCTCGTTCACTCATTGCAGGTTTTGTTTCTTGGGGCTTCGTGATCTTGTGACATTCTCAGACATGATCTTGCAAAATGCATGGTCGCAGATCACATCATGCCAGATAGTTCGGGTCATGGGTGCACTCGGACAGAGGACTTCATGATGGTTGGAGCTGCTACAGACAGCCCTCCTGACATACATCGTACTTCCGTCCAGTACCCAGCGGCCTCTAGCATACCTTGTACGATAACTTTCCACATGATTGCGTCACCTCGAAGCTGGGCCTTGAAGTAACCAGTGAGACAAAGTATAGACTTTCATTTCAAGGAACAGTTCCCCCAAGAAAAACCTTCAAGTATGGTACTCCAGGACGGCCCAGAACCCAGAAAGGAACAGCTCAAAGGGTTTAGGGTTTAGAGTTCATGGTTAGTTAGGGTTTAGAATAACTCCTAAACCCTAAACCCTAAACCCTAAATTGCTACTCTCAGGCTCGATCGAGACGCAGGCCGGTTAACACAAAATCCCACGGTTTAGGAATTAAGGGCTTAGGGTTTAGGGGTTAGGGTTTAGGGTTAAGGTTTAGGGTTTAGGGGTTACTTGGAGGTTCATGGGTAGTTATAGGTGGAGATATAAGTCCCCTAATATGGGTTATAATTACAGCTACCCTACTTATATCCCCACTCATAACTACCCATGAACCTTCAAGTAGGGTTTGGGGTTTAGGGCTAAGTATGGCTTAGGATTTCGGGTTTGGCCCTGCCACTGCCATCGGCCAAAAGCGGGCCAAGCAATCGGCAAACTCTGGGAAGAAGTCCTGCAGCAGAGTTGCGAACACTAAACCTGGTCTAAGGCACCCTAAACCCTAAACCCTAAACCCTAAACCCTAAACCCTAAACCCTAAACCCTAAACCCTAAACCCTAAAGTCTAAGGCTTGAGATTCGGGCTGCGCCATCCCGAAACGCTAAACCCTAAAGGTTGAGGGCTTAGGGTTTCTTAGGGTTTAGGGTTTAGGGCTTTAGGGCTTTAGGGGTTTGGTGGTTTAGGGTTTAGGGTTTAGAGTGTAGGGTTTAGGGTTTCTTGGCGAAATCAGGACGTCCTGTGCCCTCTGGGCTCTTCTGCTTCGGGTCTTCCTCTGTTCCGCGGAGGCTTGCGAAAAGGATCTATAGGTTCTCCAGGTTTGTAGTAAATTGAACCCTAAACCCCAACACCCCCAGAATAACCCTTATAGCACCCTCTATAGTAACCATCATAAATACTCATAACCCTTTGATTTACCTTTTTATTTCCCCCTGTAGTAGCATCATAAATAGGGCCCACAAAAGCACATAAGCAGAAACAATAGGATAGGGATATCCCATTTAAACCCCCTTACAATGAAGCCCAATAAAGTAGGGATATCCCTACAAAATGCTTATGCTTATGTCCTTTGGGGGCCCCTAAACCCCTGAACCCTAGACCTTAAACCCTAAACTCTAAACCCCTAAACCCTTAAACCCTAAACCCCCAAACCCCAAGCCCTAAAATGCTTATGTCCTTTTTGGGTTCTTAAGTGGGGTCCCTGAAACCCTAAACCCTAAACCCCTAAACCCCTAAACCCCTAAACCCTAAACCCTAAACCCTAAACCCTAAACCCTAAACCCTAAACCCTAAACCCTGCTCCTCCTTACAGCAACTGCGGGCCTCGTCCGTGATGCCGGCGCGTGCGCAGGCGCGGGGAAGATCCACCACTGCTGCCTCTGTAGACCAGGGGTGTAGGGCTTAGGGTTTAGAGGTTTTAGAAGGTTTAGGGGTTGGGGGTTTTTAGAGGGTTTAGAGGGTTTCGGGTTTAGGGCTTAGAGTTGAGGGGTTTAGGGTTTAGGGCTTTAGGGCTTAGGGGTTTAGAGGGTTTGGAGGGTTTAGGGGTTTAGGGTTTAGGGGTTTAGGGGTTTAGGGGTTTAGGGGTTTAGGGGTTTAGGGGTTTAGGGGTTTAGGGTTTGCCGCAAAGTAGCGCAGAAGCGGAAGTATCTAGCGACAGTGTAGTTTCGAGTGTATCGTAGTTTGACGATTCGCTGCTGGAGCCCGAATGTGGAGGGCTCCTTCCTTTCTTTCTCCCACCCCACGCCGTCTGAGGCGGCCAAACCATCCAAACCTGTTCCTTTTAGGGTTTAGCTCCCTAAACCCTAAACCCTAAACCCTAAACCCTAAACCTTTTAGGGTTTAGCTCTGAACTCATTCCGTGGTTTTAGGAGGCTCCACAGGGTCACAGCAAGCAGGGCAGGGCAGGCCAGGGCAGGGCAGGGCACCAGTTTCCGGCAGAGGTTGGTACTAGGCCGGCGGCAGAGATCCTCCGCCAGAGGTCTTCCGACAGAGGTGGCCTCTACTTGGAGGTTCATGGGTAGTTATAAGTGGGGTGATAAGTAGGTGATTATAATTCTAACCCATATTAGGGGACTTATAACTCCACTTATAACTACCCATGAACCTCCAAGTAGGTCCTTGAAATCTGCTCGCTGGAGGCTGGCCCATCGTCGTGGGTGCTAGCGGTGTCCGAGCTGTGGGAGGCGGGCGAACGAGCGCCGCCCCCCCGCTGTAAGGGGGGCGGCCTAAGCCTTGAGTTTAGGGCTCAGGGTTGGTTTAGGGTTTAGGGTTTAGGGTTAGGGTGACAAGAGCAGTTTAAACAACAAAGCAATGGCAACCATAACAATCATGACAATGACAATACTGAACATATAGTGACCCTAAACCCCAAACCCTAAACCGATAACCCTCGTCATAAACAGGCTTTAAAATTTAGCAGTATATGACGATAGAGGCCAGGCAGTGGATATTTTGGAGGTCTTGGGATCTTCGGCCTCAGGGGTACAGACTTAAGTTTCTTCTGGTTTCAAGGAGGCTTAGGTGGGGCCTTCAGCGTTTGATGTGTTTCCCTTTAGGGTTTAGGTAGGGTTTAGGGTTTAGGGTTCCAACGTGTTTCGTCTGCTGTCTGCACGTGGAGTAGGAGATCTCCAGGCACAAGCTAGATGGCGTCTACTGAAGGTACGTTAAACTAGACGTCGCTGATAGGACGGCAGTCCCTCTCTCTCTCTCTATCTCTCTCTCTCTCTCTCTCTCTCTCTCTCTGGACCCTAAACCCTAAACCCTAAACCGTCTGTCCCAAAACCCTAAACCTTCTCTGTCTCTTTTTGGAAAGCCTGTGGGGTTAACGATGACTCCGGGCTCCCAAACTCCCTAAACAAAGGAATGCCCTTTAGGGTTTAGGGTTTAGGGTTTAGGGGTTAGGGTTTAGGGTTTAGGGTTTAGGGGTTCGCTACAGTGTTTATGATACAGGCTCCCAGCCATCCAGCCATCAGAAGCACATTGCTCAATAAGGGAGCTTGAGCAAAGGGATGAGGAATCATGAGGGTTTAGGATTGAGGGTGTAAGGTTTAGGTAGGATAATACATGGACGTTCTGGGCAACACAAAAACCTAACCCCTCAAGCCAAACCCGCCCTAAACCCTAAACCCTAAACCCGCAAGGCACCGGACCTGGGCGGACAAATTGGGAAGGAGCTCACGCAGCTGCGCCGTGATGCGATGCTTCCTCGGGGCAAAAAGAAGCACAGTTGCCAGCCCTAAACCCTAAACCCTAAACGCCCTTGAGTGTTTACAACAACCTATTGTTTTCCTAGGGCCCCTATAAACTTCATGTTTGGGTTTATAAGAAGGACCTCCACCAAATGCCTACCTCATTAAGGAGCTGCAAAAAAGAAACCATGATAAGAAAGCTGAATTCGGTAGGCTACCTGAAGGTTCATGGCTAGTTATAGGTGGAGTTATAAGTAGGGTAACTACAGGTATAACCATATTAGTGTAATTATAACTCCACTCATAACTACCCATGAGCCTCCAAGTACTTGGGGTTCAGGTGTAGGGATTAGGGTTTGTTTGGGGTTCAGGGCTTACGGTTTGGAGCCTAGAACCCCAAACCCTAAACCCTAAAGCCCTAAACTCCCTAGTGCTACCTGGGACCTTTTCCCGAGAGCCCTTATAGACCCCCCCTTTTCCCAGGAGCCCAGTAATATAGGGGCCTTAACAATTAGAATAGGGTTTGGGGGCCCATTATACTAAAGGTATAATAAGAAAACCCCAAAATAGTATAGGTAATTTTTAAGGCCCGTACATTGTAGACTTCCTTTTCCCAAGAGCCAAGTAGATAAAGAAACGCAATACCAGCCTTCAACCCTAAACCTTTAAGCTCTAAACCCTATAGAAACCCACCACCTACCCTTAAAGGAACACTTAAAGGAACCCCTCAACCCTAAACCCTTTAAACCCTAAGCCCTAAACCCTATAGAAACCCACTACCAACCCTTAAAGGAACCCTTAGAGACCCTAAACCCTAAACCCCTTTCAGATCCCTGTAAAGGAATCCCTAAACCCCTTAACCCCTTAAAGGAACCCTTAAAGGAACCCCCCTAAACCCTAAACCCTAAACCCTAAACCCTAAACCTTAAACCCTAAACCCTAAACCCTAAACCTTAAACCCTAAACCCTAAACCCTAAACTAAGCCCCCCTTTTCCCAAGACCTCGGTTGAATCCGAGAAGCTGCCGCGAGGAGAGCTCGGCCATGTCTGCAACCTGGGGAAGGCTGGAGCCCCGTTTCAGGGTTTAGGGTTTGGGGTTTAGGGGTTTTAGGGGGTTTTAGGGGTTTAGGGGTTTAGGGGGTTTTAGGGGTTTATAGGGCCTAGGAACCCGAATGTAGGGTTTTTAGGGTTTGGGGTTCAGGGGCTTAGGGTTTAGGGGCATAGGGGTTTAGGGTTTTTAGGGGCTTAGGGTTTAGGGTTTTTTAGGGGTTTAGGGCTGAGGGTTTAGGGGTTTTAGGGGTTTAGGGTAGGTTCAGAGAGCGCAATCCAAATTAGCCAAAACCTGAGTTCTGAGCATCGCGATCGCAACCACAAGCATTTTCGCACCGAGCAGGCATGTCACGTCTCCTGTGGCTGTAAATGCCTGCGCTTGCAATCCCAATAGCTGCGTGGATCGCATCCAAGGACAGCCCAAGTTCTCGAAGCGGATCCTGTCAAGGTACATCATAGCTTGCAGCGCCCAGAGTCTTAGAAGGCTACAGTTACAGAATCCCTGAATTGTGCTACAGAAAAACCTATACTGAACTTAGACCCCTAGCAAAAATTATAAATTTAGCTGTTTCTACAGGGTTTATAGTAGCCAAAGATTAAAAATTATTTCTAAGTACCCCTAAGAAACCCTACCCAGAAGCCCTAGACACGCCTCGTGGTCCACCAGCAGCTGTCGAGCCAGCGACTTGGCGATGTTGGATGAGGCTGGATAACCTCTGGCCGAAGATTAAGAACGGGGAAACCCAGAGAAGCGAATGCTCCTTAATTCAGGGATATAGGGTTTAGGGGTTTAGGGTTTAGGGTTGAGGGTTTAGGGAATATACCTTAAATTGTAGGGGCCTTAATTTTTCTGATTTAGGGTATATTCCTTAGTTAAGGGTTATTGGGTTCTCTGGGGAAGTTGTGATGTTGCTGTCCAACGAAGTCAAACTGCGGCAGGGATGCAGATCGGGTTGCATGCTTCCGTTTCTCTGAAAGCCTACGGAAGAGTCCCCACGTAAACCCTCAACGTTAGCCCCAGCAGTCCCTATCGAGCTCGGTGATTCAGTAGATCCCTGATCAAGAAGCCCCCTTGCTTTGAGGCCCTAAACCCTAAACCCTAAACCCAAACCCCAAACCCCAAATGAACACTAGCATCTCGATTACCGTTTTCATTACGGAAGGCTGGTTTTTTAAAGGAGCAGCCTGCCTTAAACCCTGCACCCCCCTTCAATGATAGATACCAATAGTGCAGGCCCCCGAGAATTCTAAAACCCTGACCCTACACCCAAGGCCCCAAATCCCAACACCTAACCCAGCCCTAAGAAACCCTATATCAGCCAGAGGCCCCGGTAATGTAGGGGCCTTAATAATTAGGATAGGGTCTTGGGGCATATTCGACTATATAGCCATGCCCAAATGGTATAGGGAATTCTTACTTCCCCAATAAGCCAAGGAAATTTCAGCGTACTACTAAATTATAAGAACCCATAAAGTTTGAAGGTTGGGTATTGGAGAACTAAGCATTATTCAGGCCCCTATAGTAGGCCCCACCGTCCGAAAGGCCCTGAAATACTCCTGAAACCCACCCTCAATCCTTACACCTTTGGTGTTTGGGTTTAGGGGTTTAGGGTTTAAGGTTTAGGGGTTTATGGTTTAGGGGTTGAGCCCTTAACCCTTCAAGCAAGGCCCCGGTAAAGGCCTGACTGACTAGACTAGGGTTGGAGGTATATGTTGTACTACAATCAGAATAATATGGGCCGTAATAATTAGAATAGGGTTTCGGGGGTTCCCTACTATAATTATCGTAATCTGATTATTGTTAAGTTCCCTATGTTAAATCAGGAATGGAAATGCTCCGCTAGTGCTTGTTCAGGCTTCTATAGTAGTCGGTATAGCAGCCCCTTGATGATTAGGGCCTCATCAACTAGAATAGGGTTTCGGAGTAGTCTACGTACTGTAATTGCAGCAAGCCAATCCCTCCAGTAACCCCCAACAGTAAGCCTTATAACTCAAACTTACGTCCCTAAACCCTATAAACCCTAAACCCTGTCGCCCTTCATGTAAGTCCCCAAGAAAGGCTTAGTTCCCCAAGAAGCCTCAGAATTAAAAGGTTTGACTTCCAGATTGCTACTAAACTTCAAGAGCCCAAAAGTCTTAACACTATTCTATACCATACTATACTATACTTTACTATACTGCACTGTACTACTACTATTTTATACTATAATATACTATACCATACTACACTTTATTATGCTATACTTTGCTATCGTATGCTATAGGATAACCCTCATGGTAACTTCTACTAGGAGCCCTAAAACCTAAACCTAAACCTAAACC